ATTTTCACCTTTTCGACATTTTCACCAAACAATAGCCTCTACTTTCGGGGTTTTACCAGCTTTTTCAACAGCATCCGATACTAATCAAAATAACTCCTTACAGAAGCGGCCAACTATGACGAGGAGGACGACCCTCATCACCATGAGTTGTCAGCCATCAATGAGCTCCCTGAGCGAGAACGGTCTGATGACAAAGACAGCACCAGCGCCTACAACACTGGAGGAGAGAGCTGCCACAGCACTCCACTGGTCAGCACAGAACAGATCCCGCCCCTCCACGGGGAGGAAGAGCAGGAAGCGTTACAAGGACGAGGACTCCTGTCTCCACCTCATCTACTCCCACCTCTGAACTTCCCGCTCCAACCGCAGTGGCACAGGCAGGACAGAGAGAGGCGCCACTCCAACCTCAGCTGTTCCTACTCTCCGAGCACCTGCAGAAAGTATGAAATGAATAACGGCAGTGGAGCATACCGCTCAAGCTCCACTCCGTCCACGCCGTCAAAGTTCAGGTTGTCTGAATGATTACTACGCAAACAATGTCTGGTTAAAGTTGGCAAAAATGGTGTGGGTTTTTGAAAATATTCTGGTTGTCTGTCTTTGTATTTATCAGATCTTTGAGCAGAGAGGTGGGGTCGGCGTCCAGAAGGGGAGTGATGGATAGAACCCACGGCTGCAGGATAGGTACGTCTTATGTGTCATCTCATATAATGAGACTAGAATAAACTAGTTCAATCCGGCACCGCTCGATGATTTCTTTTTTAAATAATAAACTACACAAAGACGTAGTGATCAGGAAATGTCTTGTAAAAATAAAGTATAAAGATTTATCAAATGTACGTTTTTGCATGAAAACAAAGGAGAAAGAACAAGACTTTTTGTTATTTATATGTAATTATGTCATAATTGTCCTGGTCCAGACCACTTGGCATCTAATTAGGTTGTATGTGGGCCCTGAACCTGGTCTACACTGAAAAATCCTTTTCCAAAAAGTGATTAAAATGTATCATATAAAGCTACTACAAAACTATATTTAACGATTTTACACTGATACTATGGTGGGGTAGAATATCTAATAACAATAAAAAAAAAAACTGGATACATTTTTATATTGGGAAAACAAAAAGAATATCACCAAAAATGTGTGTTTTATACATACATATATGTCATCATGTATTGTTCAAATCAATCTTCAAGATCCATTTTCTGTTTTACTGCCATGTTTAATTTGTCTTTTACTTAGACGCACTGTCATGTTTAATTTGTCTTTTACTTAGACGGACTAACCGGCCGGCCGGCTGGTGGAAGCGCAGAGTCCAGTCCCTATTTCAGCAGACGACATCACAACAAACCATTAGAACGCTACCAGAGCTGCATGACGCTGCCGTCAGATGGACTGGTGGACCCTCTGGACCAGGTGAACGACAGAGTGATGGTGGACGCAGAAAGAGGGTTGATAATGGGCAGCAGTGGCCCAGCAAGCCACAGAGGTGTGACCAGCGCCCACGGTGGTTTAGAGGACCAGCAGAGAGGTGCCTCACGATTAGGATTGGCTTTACCACTTGGGCTGACACAGTCACCAGCTTCCCCACAGCGCATGGAGTGGAAGGTGATGAGTTGTCATTGATGACGCTGATATGAGCATCTATATTTAGCATTTAAAGATTTATTTTCATGTCTTACCTTATTTTTCAAATATGGCTTTTAATAGTCTAAAGTTTAAGGTAGCTGTCGGCTAAACTTTGGCTAGCCCTGCACATGTAACCAGCCTGAGACAGCAGATATCATAGACTAGCTTAAGTCTACTATATGATATCTAGAAATGTATTCGATGCTTTACCTTGCTTTCTGACAGTGTTTCCACTGTTACTGTTTCCAGGTAAAGATCCGCAGTGACGGAACACGTTACGTGGCCAAGCGTCCAGTCAGGGATCGACTCCTGAAGGCCAGAGCCATGAAGATCAAAGAGGAGCGCAGTGGAATGACGACTGATGATGACACTGCCAGTGAGATGAAACAGGTAGAGATTATGCCACAACCATGGACATTTTAAGTTCCCGGACTGTGCTACACATCCCTAACTTCTATGGCTTATCCCTGAGTGGGTCATAAGGGCAGCAGTCTCACCACAGACACTCAAATACAACTCTTCTGATAGGATCTCTAAGTGTTTGCAAGCTAGCTGTAGAATCTCATAGGTGGACAAGACTAGAACATGTTCCGAGGGAGAAGTAGCAGCTAATATGGAATGTTATCTTGGTTGCTAGTACGGAAGACTTAGCGTAGATGAGCTAAACTTCTTTCCAACCACTTCACACTCTTTGTGAACCATGCCAGTCCAATCTGAACCACAGAATCAGTCCAAGAACCACTAAAGTTAAACCACAGCAGTCTAAAATGAGGGGGTAATACAGGACAAGCCAACTAAAGTTTGAGAATAGCCCCATAAGGCACTGGCTAACATTCAGCAACAAGTTTGTTTAATATTAAGCTATTTGCGCAATACAGGTCTGGTATGGACATAAATAATGTTTCTGTGTAGGTTCTAAGGCATCCAGGTCATTGAATATAAAAATAGTTACACAGCGGGCAACTGGACAAAGTAGGATTTTTTTTTTAAGACATTTCACCTCTCATACAAGAGGCTTCTTCAGTTCTCACTGACTACTAGGAAATTCTGGTATTTAGCATCAAAGGGGCTACGTACCCATAACATCCTCATCCACAAAATACATACATACATAATGTTATAATATATTTGATGTTAGCATTTTATATTATTATGCTAACCTTTCTTGTTAAAAGAATCATCGTTTCCAAGTACTCCAGTGTTTGTGGTTGACTTTGACTATTGAGAAAAATATAACACTTAACAGTATTTAATAGCTGGTGCACAGTCTTTGAATCATACAGTATGTCCCAAAAGTTGTCATTGAGCCAGTTCAGAACAACAATTACAGTTATTATAATCATCATTTTTATGACTCAATATTTTTGTTACACAGGGTCGATACTGGAGCAAAGAGGAGAGAAAGCAGCAAATGCTCAGAGCCAGAGAGTACAAACGGAGAAGAGAGTTCATGATGCAAAGTCGGCTGGAGATGTCTAGGTACTGAAAACTCTACAGCGCCATCACTGAAGACTAATCTGTACAGCAGCAGCTGACACAAAAGAAAATAAATAAATTCAACTGCTGTTTTTAGCCTGAGATTTTTTAATAACCTGTACATTTTATCTGCCACATTGATTCACTTGAATTTTCATTTGTTCTTTTTAAATTGATTACATTGGTCCCTCATTTATCGCGGTAGACAGGTTCCTGAATTTCCGAGAACTAATGACACCATATTTATTTAATTGTTTAACGTGTATTTGGACTTTGTTAAACCCTCCGTGTACTGTTTACAAGGTGGGTACCTTTTACTCTATTAATAACATATATAGAGATATATTATATCTATATATATCCAAAAGTTCCACCTTATCAGCGATCGTCATCATTCTTCGCTGGCGTTCAGGCTTAGCACCAGCCTTGGAAGAAGTAGCACGTTTGGGATGCATTGCAGGGGGGTGACAATTGAAAATTTAAGCGAAGTGCAACACAAAGAAACCACAAAAAAAAAAAAAAAAAAATCACACACAGCACAGTGTAACTGCTTGGCACATCTTAAATCTGACCTCTTCCTTTTGGTTTCCAGGGAACTTTCATCTCTATCAGGAAGTGCTCAAGACCACAGTTCACCACATGCTGCTCAGCTCCACACGCAACAAGATTCACACTGTAACAACATCCTGTCTCTTAGTCAGAAAAAAATCATTAAGAAGAGGAACCGAAGAATCCTGGACAACTGGATCACCATCCAGGAGTTGCTGACTCATGGCTCCAAGTCACCAGATGGAACCAGAGTTTACAACCCTCTGTTGTCTGTAACCACAGTGTAAGGACGAATGTTACCCACGCAGTGTGAAACCTGGGCCTGTTAAGTTGAACACAATGCCGATTTACCACAGGAACTGAAGAAAAAGAACACATGAGGATCTTCGTCAACAGCTCTTGCTCTTTTTAAGTTTTCATAGCCGCATGCTGCCACAGGGTCGGAGAGTAATTCATTCTTTTGTCTGTCACAGTTGCTACCACAGTACATCTGAGGATCTCTCATGGCACACTGACGTGCGTTGGTACACTGGTTTGAACACCATCTAAAAAAGTCAGCAGTATTTAAAGAAAAATAATTATACATTTACAAAATTATACAATATTTAAAGGACACAACTGATTGTACACCATGTTTGATTGATAGCTGGACAGTCTAACAGAAACCTACTGCCTTCCAGTATACTGACATGGTGCTAGCCAAACTGTGAGTCATGAGGTTTCGTGGAAGTGTTTTTGGGACAATACTTTGATTATTAAATGGTCATAAGTGTTTCTTATACACAACGTAGATTTTTTTTTTCATTCCCTAATTTGAATATATATGACTTGTTCAAACCCTATTAAAATTAAATGCATGAAATCCATGTTTATTGAATGTAAAGTCTCGTAAAAGAAGACAATTCCATGTTAACGCCTTTTTTTCCCCAATTGTGAAAGATGTAAGTCTTAAAATAAATTAAATAAATTAGATACAATTTGTTGCTGTGTTGCATCGGAAAACCATAGGGATTTATAGTTTCAATGTTGTCTTTTGTGTCCCACAGCATAAGGGAATTCCAAGGATTTGAGAGTTTTTATTTATTTTGTTCAATGTAAATTGCATTTTTGTAGGAATTAAAGTGTTTTTAAAAAGCCCAGTTGACAATAGTCCTATCTACACGTAAAGAACATTTTGGGAGCAACTTCCCTACAGTTATACGCAGTAGGTGATTTGGGGGCCGGGGGTGAGGATATGTGGGCAGAAATCGAAAATTAAGTTAAGTTTAGAAAAATTTAAAAATTAATTTAGTTAGAAGTGTGTGTTATTGTGATTCATAACAAACGTACCTCACATTTAGAGCTATAATTGTTTAGCCTAATCATAAGAGCATAATTTCATACAAATGATCACTAACTCATTGGTAGTAATTAGTTCATAAATCACTATTTTAGTCATTTTTAATCACAGTTGTTGGCAGAAAAGAGGGAGAAAGAGAAAAAGAAACAACTTTTCCTTCTTTTTTTTTAACCCATAAATAATCTGCCGAAATTACGTCTGCTTTGGTTCGTTGGGCTGCAGTTCAACGTTCAACCACCTGATGGTGCTACTGCTTAGCTATAAATTGCATCGTCATGAACAGTGAATCTGCAGTGTTCATACAGGAGATAGGAGTCTGACATCAACATTTTTGTCTTTCAATGACAATCACAATCAGAATTTGATTTTTTTTTCTTATTCTTGTTATTACACCACTTAATAAATAAAAACATAAAATAAAAGCATTTTAGTGGATTTAAAGTTACAATATCAGCATCAAACCAAAAAACTTAATCATGAAAATAATGAAATATAATATCAAAAAAATATTTTATCACTCAAGAAAGGAGAATTCTGCTTATTTCCCTCTTACTCTCACACACATAGGCAAAGAGAAGGAGTTGAACATTGATCACCTGCATTGATTATCCTGAGACATCATTAGGGTCAACCATGTACAAGCACGACTGTTCACTCAAAACATGAGGATGAAAACATTTGTGGTCATTTTACATACATATTTACGGAGACATTACTGTTTCTGAGATTGGCTCATTGGCCGTTAGTCTTTGGTTATTGATTATAACCATCACTAAAAATAATTGGTAAACAAATAACAAAACTGTGGTTTCCATAATCTTTCCAAGTCATGTACACATCCACTTCCTCGTCTCATTTTTCAGTACATCATCAAATCTCATCTCTGTAGTCTTCCTCTTCTCCCCCTGCCTGACAACTCCATCTCCAACATTACTTTCCAATATATTCACTACCTCACCACAGCACAGCTCCAAACTCGCTCGACCTTAGCTGACCTTGTGATCTGCTAATTTTTTAAACCCTGGCCTCTCGCAGCATCTTCATCTCGGCCTCCTTCAACTCGGCCTTTTGTCGCTGTCCTATAAACCTTCCCTCAACTCTTCTGCTATTCTTCTGTCACAAATCACCCCTCTCACCCTCGTCTCCACCCTCACACACCTCAGTCTCATTAACACACATGAAACCTCCTGCTGACCTTCACTCCTCTTCCCTCCAAAGCAAACCTGAGCAGAATTTCAAGCATTTGTCCTGTAAATTGAAAACCTGCCACATTTTAAGCATTGTTTGTTTGATCTATCAAAAACAAGTTTTTAAAAAAATTTTTTTACGAGGAATAACAGCCAATTGCTCGCCCATTTTAAGATTTTGTTTTTAAAAAATAAAAACACAAAAGTATGATTTATCCAATTACTAAACATATGAAAATTAAATTGACAGAAAACTCAATTCCAAAATATATTAGATAGTTGAAGGCCTACTTACATGTGAAGTACTTTTCTTGGGCAATAAACCGTAAACTGTTGCTCATTGATCTTAACTGTTCAGAGCAGAGGAGACTGCGGAGGAGAGGTGAAGAATAGAGTGCAGGCAGGATGGAACAGCTGGAGAAAAGGGTCAGGAGTGATCTGTGACAGAAGAGTGTCATCTAAGGTGAAGGGAAAGGTTTACAGGACGGTGGTGAGACCAGCCATGATGTATGGTTTAGAGACGGTAGCAATAGGCAGAAGACAGGAGGCCGAGCTGGAGGTGGCAGAGTTAAAGATGCTAAGATTCTCTTTAGGAGTGACAAGAATGGACAGGGTCAGGAATGAGGTCATTAGAGGAACAACACAGACAGGAAGGTTAGAGTAGCCAGATTGAGATGGTTTGGACATGCGCAGAGGACGGACAGCGGATACATTGGTAGAAGAATGTTAGAGATGGAGCTACCAGGTAGTAGAAGGAGAGGGAGACCAAAGAGGAGATATATGGATGCAGTGAGGGAGGACATGCAGATAGTTGGAGTCAGAGTAGGAGATGCAGAGAACAGGGAGAGATGGAAAACAATGATTCGCTGTGGCAACCCCTGAAAAAACGGACAAAGCCGAAAGGAAAAGAAAAGGAGGAATTCCTAAACAATTATATTCCCAACAAAAAGGAAATAACACCACCATTCACTTTTCCCCAACTGTCTGTCTTCCCTTGCCCTTTTCTACCCCCTCTGCCATCTTCCCCATAGTCCCCTTTCTTTTATGGCCGTCCTGGATCTCCTGGGGATATCTTCCTCTTAAAAAGGTTTTTTAAATCGCTATCATGACCAAAATGCTTGCTCAATGTGTGATTGAATTTTTTTAAAATTTGGTTTTCAAAAATACAACATTATTCTGTTAATATAGACTAAGTATATATAATGCATATATAAATCATTTTAGCAACTGCAGCCTCCTTACCACATTAAGTAACCCTGTGCCCCCCACTTTGAGAACCACTGATTTAACCAAAAAGGTATTTGCATCATCTCCCTCAGTCTCCTCCTCAGCAAATTAAGTTGCCTGAATGAAATGAAGCACATCCATTAGCTTCTCTCCCAGGTTCTTCCTTTTGTCCTTGTTCACTCCAAGATAAGAGCTTCATCTACTTACCTGTGTGTGTGTGTACTGTATGTGTGTGTGTGGGTGTACATGCTTGATGACATGTCTGAGACATTAGACAAGGACATAAGAGAACAACCTTCATCCGCTGTATCGATTACATACACACACACACGCATATATATATATATATATATACACACACACACACACACACACAATATCTCCCTGTCCGTCTCTCTCTCCCCCTCTTTCCTGACAGATATAATTTACCTCTCTCTCCGTCTCTCTCTCCCCTCTTTCCTGACAGATATAATTTACCGTCAGTATGACTCAGCTTCTCTAACTGGAAAACAGAGTGCAACTATAAAACACATGAACATATGGCAACAATATCTTGTCTACATCTCCACCAGAGATAGGATGAGACCGAGTAAGATATGAAAACATCATATTTAAAGACAGGTTATCGTCAATCAGCGCCCACAGAGGATAGCTGTCAGTACTTATCTCAAAGCCGTTCGTTTATAAGTGACGTCGTGGCGGACATGTTTACTTATGTATATGAACTGGCCATGGGTTTGTGTTCCAATAAAATGCACACTTTGGCGCTCTTTTCTCGCTAGTCGTAGCAGTTGATAAATGAAGTTTTAACCCACCTTCAGCTCCAGTGTTTCCTCGTCCGGCTACAGTGGTGACCCAGAGTTGAATGTTCCCAGCAGCGGTAGTACTTCTTTCGTCCTCAGACACGTCGAGACAGGCCGCTCTTTCGCGGTTTTTGTGGCGTTCCGTTGACGTTTGCAGTGTCCAAGTTGACGGAGCTATGGTGGGCTCGCCAGCAACGCGGCCTAGCCACAATCTCTCAAGTTCACGATGGAAGTTCGGCAAATTGCTGGGAAGTCAAACTTCGTATGCTTATGTGTCCTGTTCACCCGAAAATATATTTTCAAGCCATAACCGCTGGAGATTCACATAACATTGCATTTTAGGGCAGTAATCTCCCGGTTCAGTAATCGATTTACGTGTTGATACGTTCGGGCTCAACCAAATCTCTGATTGGTCGATTTTTTTTTTTGGCACTGTACGTTTATGAGAGGAAAGTACCAAATGCTAATGGGGGTGTTTACAGACGCACCTGTTTTACAGGTAAGACTTCAGAACCCCCTCGCCCCCCTTTGTTTTCACCTTTTGGTGGCCCAACCCACTGACAGACAGGTTGAAGAACCTACTAGAAAGCCTAGGCCTGGTGGTTTACTTAACATTTATTTAATTTTGAGCGTTTCATTTACAGTCAGTCCTCCTCTACTATGTCAAAGACATCCACAGTATGGTAACATTTGACCAAAATAGATAACAGAAAAAAGTCAAATTACCTTAGGTCCGTTTTGAGTCTATGAACATTTAGCATATCTCAATGTTTTAGTCTAATAATAATTTGTCTAATAAGTGTTTATTTTAAAGTGTAGTCGGACTTTAAAGTGTTTATTTTAAAGTGTAGTCGGACCCGCCCGCCCATGGGAGCATACATATCCTTTTTAATGGATGATCTCAATGAAACTTCAGGCCCGATCTCCTCTATCAAAATGAAGTGCTGATTCAGAGGTATTAGAACGTAGTCATTAGCTCAACTAAAACTAAACAGGCCAATGTGGAGCACATTGATTTCTTAAATCTATAAAAGCACTTGAAGGTACACACACATGCAGATACAAAGTGGAACGGAATAAAGATGACCTTTCATCTCCTGTGTCGAAGGACAAAAGACAGGTTAAAAAGGGAAAAGAATGCCGAAGGTGAAGTGAAGCCAGGCTGATGAAAAATCAAAGAGAACTAATGACAGATCCTACTTCCTACTTCCTCACACATGAACATATACTGTGAGGATATGAAATCCATTAGTTTGGTGAGGTTTGCTTTACTTGAACCCAGATCAGCTAAGATCTGATAACCTTACATCTTTGATGGAGTAAGATCGTTTTTAAGAGCGCAGTCAAATGAGGTACTGACAAATCAAAAGCGAAAACGCCACGCTGAGCACCACCTACTGCTGAGACACTAAGGTCTACCATATCTTGATTAAAAGATTCAACTACTGTATTTTTCGGACTATAAGTTGCACTCTCTCTTCATCCTTTGGCTGGGTCTGCGACTTATACTCAGGTGCGACTTACATATTAAAAATGTCATTTCACATGATCGTTATTTTAACACTCACAGCCACTAGAGGGCACTCTGGGCTTGTGTTCCAGTATATGCGACTCCTTTACTAATGAACATTTACATGTTCGTTATTTTCATGCGACTCCTTTACTTATGAACATTTACATGTTCGTTATTTTCACACTGACACCCGCTAGAGGGCACTCTAGCTGGCTGGTGCAACATATACTCCAGAGTGACTTGTAATCCTGGAAATACAGTAACTTGTTGATTCCACTGTTGTATAGACCTTAGATTCACATACAATCCACTGGCCTTCAATATGTAAACTTCAAAAGAAAGCATTTCCTGTTTCTCAAGAAGAAGAATCATGACAAAATGTTTTCAGACGAAATACCCAGTGTTTTGGCAGTCTCCTGGTATGTCACAATCAACCCCCGAAGAATTTACAAGAATTGATTGTGCAACATATCACATTCTGTGAAGAGAACACAAAAAACAGTTCTTCAGAAAAAGATATGCAGAAATGGGCAAACAACGGCCCAGCCTGCCGAGCTTCCTAAAATTTGTAGTTTTCCATCTTACGGTAATTACTGATTACTTTTTTTCCTGCTATTCAATGCACAATAACTGTGATTTCAATTGATGCCACTAAATGGGGGCAGACACAATTAATTTTTGCAGTCACTCCTTTTATTTTAACCCTTGAGCTCGTATGACCATAGTGATCATTTTGATATTCAAATTAACAATATAACTTAAGTTCTACAGTGTTAATAAACACGTAATATAAGTATTGTTGATATTTAATATCAGGACACGGTATGGAATTTCTAACTAGTACGAAAGTCTTTTGATTGGAAAAATGTTAACAGACATATATTTAAAATGAATTTCTTTGGTTTTGTTTTTGCTTTTTTTTGTTCCAGAACCGTGAGGATTCCTCACCCCCAGCATTTACCTGCCGTCCGGGATCCGCCACTCGCCACAACTGCCTTACAACGCCTACCTGGAAGACCTGTGCAGCACTTAGAAAAATTAAAAATAAATAATCCTTGTTGCCCCTCACTGTTAGCATGTGTTCTGCTTCTTGGTCCAGCCTGCTCTATCTCAAGGAGATACGTGAGACAAATGAATAGTTTATTTAATTTATTTAATCCCCATTTCAAAGACATATAAACAAATATAAACCGTCTAGATTATTTTTGAATGAAAATGGCACTTATAAAGGAGCAAAGATTAAAGAAAATGTGTTGTTAAACAGCATGGAAAAAAAGTTCATGTTTGACTATATATTTTTTAACAATTATCAGGGATTGTGGTTTGACAAGACGGCCCAAGGATAGCAAAAAAAAGACATACAAAAAAAGAGGAAGGGGAAACAGAGAGATGGAGATGGTGAAAAAGAAAATAGGGAGGGGTTTGTGGAGGTAAAAGAGGAGGGAGGGGCCGGAGGAGCCAGGGGAATACAGAGAGAGAGAGAGAGGGGAGAGAGACTGATGTCATCTCTTTGGAGCAGCCAATCAGAGACCAGTCTTTAGAGCAAGGTGGGAGGGAGGAGAGGCCGTGTTCGGAAGGGTGTGTTATATGTGGCACTGCAGCATCAGGGCATAGATTGGAAAAAAAAGACAGATAGGAGAGGAGATCAGGGATCAGGGGATAGGACTGAGGAAGAACTGAGGAACCAGGGAAAAGGAGAACGAGACGTTGGACAAGACGACAGAAGGACGGGATTGGACGGAGGGCAGGAGGAAACACCTGGAGAGGTAAGGGGGGAAAACAATGGCATGTCACTTCTGTCTATGTGTGTATGTGTGTGTGTGTGTGTGAGAGAGAGAGAGATACTCACTGAGCTGTAACTTCATCATCCGTGAAGAGGTCCTGATGCTGACGATGTGCTCATGCCTGATTAGAATTGGGTGTGTACAGACTGCCGTTTTCAGCGTGTGTGTGTGTAGGTGCGTGTGCGCGTCGACTCTCCCTTCCTAATGTCTGAGCCTCTTCAAATGAATTGTGAATGAAACGGCGCTCTGCAGTCAGACACGATCACGCTCAGGTGAATTATTCACGCTTCGTCCCTCTGTCTTACAACAGTTCACAGGAGTTGAAGTTATTCCGGTTCCGTTCTCACACCCATCTCTCTAGACACGGAAACACACCATTGTCTGAGAGCACACCCAAAAAAATACCCCCAAAAAAATAATGAATACACTGAGCCTAAACTGCTTTTAAAATAAAAAAAACATTACATATTTCTCCTCCTATTATAAACCCTACACCAAACTACAGATCGGTGATTTTAGCTCCAGTGATACTGGATACTGTCTCCTGCTGCCTTTTGTGGTCGGTTTGTTTTTAAACACGAAAAAAATCCGGTAACACCTTTAAAGTGAATGATGGAGGCAGCAGAGGGTTTTAACAGCTGCTGTTTGCTGTTGTCTAAAATCTTTTCTCTGACTTTTGGCCTTTTGCACCTTTTATAGGAAAGGGAGGATTGAAATGTTTCTTTAGGAAGAATTAAAGTGTTTTTCTTGCATGTTACACCTTTATGACTAAGCAGAAAACACCAGGCAGGGCTAAGGTTGTCCAAGTGTCTGCGAGGGGTTACTACAACTGTTGCAGTGATAATAAGACCTGAGGTCGTTTAAGTACATAAAAAAAACCTCCTATCCTGTCTTAATGGTTTTGGTCAAACGTGAAATACAGGAGGAGAAAGGCATCGAATCTCTGCTTTTAAAAAGCTGGAGCCACTGAGTGTTTGCCTTGGCTAATAAAACTATAATTTACCGATCGATGAATTGACCACAGGCTGCAGCTCTGATTGAGTCAGTTAGTGAGTCGGACTGAGTAAGAGCGAAAGAGGGGGAGAGAGGGAGAGAGAGAGAGAGCATTGGGCAGTGTAGATAAGTTTGAAGCTCAGACCGTGGAGCATCTGCCACCACTGCTCTTCTCCAGGTTTCTGTTTGTCTGGAATTCCTCTCTCTTCACTCGTAGCAACTTCATTTAAACCCAAACACAAATACATGCAAACACAAAACACACCCATCTGTGTGGTTTTCTCACCGTGGCGACCTCAGCCGTGGTCGATCTAGAGTAGAACCTGGAAGAAAAAGGAGAAAGAGGAATCAGTGGATACCAGAGTCAAACGAGATCTAGGTTTTTTTTCAGGCAGGCTTAGATCATATATTTCCCGGAACAGGGTTTGGACCAAACCGGTGACCATCAAACGGTCCACCCTTAAAACCGCAGCTGAGTTTCCTCGCTCTATATGTAACCTAATATTAAAGGAGCCTATCAATAAGACTCGTGATACGGCTCAAGATTCATTTTTGAAACTGAATCTCACATTTTCAGTCTGTGTGTTGACATAGAATATATGTAAACATCGTAGTAAACGGGCTAACTGTAGGCTAGTCTGCAAAGGTCTGACCCAATTCGTTTTAATAACTGATAATAATGTTGTTTTCGTAAAGAGAACATGCCATATGTTTTACCAGGTCTGTTAGCCTAGCATACCTAAACATCAGCCTAAAACATCTAATGTAAAATAAAAAAAGCTAAAAACAAGCAAAAGATAAATAAATTAGCATAGATTAGCATTATCAGATATCAAAAGGTAAGGTAAAGACAGCTTGTCCAAAATGAAAGGTAAAACCAAGTCCAAAAATGCTTCAACACTGGCCCAAAAAAGTTACCTTTGATTTAGTAAGGCGGGACCAAAGAGACAATATCAAAACTGACCAGGAAGTCAAGAATAACTGACCAGGAACTGATCCAAAATGTCCCTCAAACTTGACAAAAACTAATCTTTCTTATTTCAAACGTCAGATGATTTTTTTTTTTCTTTTTTTACTTTTACACCAACTCCTTTCTGCTATTTTTCTTTATGTTTTTACTTTTACACCAACTCCTTTCTGAATTTCAATTCATGATTCGACTGCTAAACCTGAACAGTCAAAGCGCAGCTTTGTGGCGTTGACGTCACATCACAAACTAAATTCAGTTTTGATCTCTTTCACTTTCTGGAACAACAGCGCATTTTGTCCGAACCCTGTTTCCTAACTCTACACAATTGCATTCCTTTTCTTCTCCATCATGACTCAGCAGCTGCAGCATGTCAGCAGAGGCTGAATCACATCGTTCGCTCATTAAAATATTTCTTTTGAGCCTCATCCACAAAGAAGCATAACTCAGATGAACTGAACTTTCAGATGACGTGGTCACAGAGCAGAGTTCAGAGCAGGATTAAAACTGTCAGGACGATGAGGTAGCTCTTAGAATCATTTTAGTTCTGAAGAAGTCACTCTAGCCAGGAGATCACTGGTTCAATCCCATCCATCCATCCATCCATTTTCATCTGTTAACCGTTACCGGGTCGCGGGGGCAGCAGTCTCCATGACCGCCACCCAAATTGGTACAAAAAAGTAGGGATGTCCTAAATTTTGTCCGACTGATATTATTGGCGTGATATTAGCATGATTATGTACGATTTGTGAGAATCGTTATCGGTTTTTACTCCGATAATGCAATGCCTGGGTTTCGCCAAACATGCTGGAATCACTTGTGGGATCCTGAGACGTTTACTGTAGTTTGGCTGGATATATCCATATCGGTTGATATCAGAAGCGTAAATTGTTTGGACAATAGCGGCATATCAGATTTTGGCAAAAAGTTCATATCGGACATCCCTACAAAAAAAAAGGTTGGGGACTGCTGCTTTAGAATAAATAAATATTTAGAACCGGGAACTCTCTTCTCAATTGTCAAGGGTTTTTATGCAGAGAATGGTAGAGAATCAGATCAGTTTGTGCCAGTTGCTTTTGCAAATGATACGGCTAATAAAACTGGAGCTATTTGGAGAGCCAAATATTTCTGAAAGCAGTTTGCAGGTCACACAGGTCAGTGTTTTTAAAAAACAGTAAAGACAACTGGACCGTCTTGGCTTCTCCAGTTCTGACTGACCTCTGGGAAAGGAAGGAAAGTGAAAGTGAGAGTGAACTACTTGTCATTGTGACACAGCACACCACTGACTTCTGTTTTTCACCAAAGTGAACAGTGGGGCAGCAGTGAGTGGGGACGGTGTCGTGCTCAGAGCACCTCAGCGGTAACGTGGCAGCTGGTGGACTCAAACCTGAAACCTTCCGGACTCAAGTCCACTTCCTTAACCACTAAGCCACCACTGCCCCAAATTCTGGTATGGAAATTGTATTATTTTGATATTCAGCGTTTTATTAATCTTTGACAGATTTATTTTGGAGAAAATAGTTAAACAAAAAATGATCCCATACCTAATCTTGGTATTATTTTGGTATTCAGCGTTTTATTAATCAGATTTATTTTGGAGAAAATCGTTAAACTCTGGGTCCAGAAGACCTCAGAACAAAAAATGATCCCATACCTAATCTTCCGCTGACTATTCCAACTGTGAAGGCTATCATGTGAACAACAAGAGAGGTTTGCATGCAGTTTAAAAAGTTGTGAGAGGTTCATGTGAGGGTCAGAAAGAAGAGGAGGAGGAGGGGCAGAAGAAGAAGAAGTAGAGAGGGCGGAGGGTTAGAAAATCCGATTAGAGTCGACTTTTGCTCTGGTTCTTTCCCTCGTTTCCTCTCTTCCCCTGTCCGCTGCTCACATCCTCAGTTCTGTGCTGTCACTGGATGCTTTCTTTCTCTTCCATCTTCATCTCAATCTCTCTCTCTCTCTCTCCTTTATCTAATACCCCCCCTCCACCTATTCCTCCTCTTCCTCCTCCTCATCTTTCCATTTCTGTCCGTTTCCTTTGCCTCCATTTTTGTTCCATTGAACAGAATGAGACCTTTGTGTTTAGGACTGGGAAGAATTCCTTCCTCGAACACTGTTTTACTATTACCCTTTTCTTCTTCCTGTGTGTGTGTGTGTGCGTGCGCACGTGTGTGTTCATGCGTACAAGTTTACTGTACGTAAAGAGCTTCAAACAAACAAACAAAAGAACTCATCCTGAGTGCATTAAAGACTGAGGAACACAGGAAGCCGTTACAATCCTGCCATAATCATTAATCCCAGCTAATAGACATAAACACACACACACACACACACACACATTCTAGATGCCTTGCTGTGAACATGTGACTTGTGTCCTGTTTTTCCGGCCACTGCGGACGAACCCCCGACAAGCGTCTGATTCATGCACGGACCTCAAAGACAGAGGAGACTTTATCAGTGGAAAACATCCGATTAACAATATCGTCGCCCACTCAAACTGACCCGGGGAGACCCCTGGAGGCCACGTCCTGGCACTGGTCAAAACACCACCATGTGAGTCAGAACAGACGTGCACGTGGTGGAAACAGAAACAT